TTCCACCCGTGACTGTATTAAATTCATGTTACACTGCTTGATAGCCGAATATGCTTGATGCTTCAAGTCTACCGGGAGATGACATGTCTTACCAAAGACCAGTCGATAAGGGGACATCTTAATAGGAGTCTTGTAGGTAGTCCTGTATGCCCACAAAGCATCATTCAGTCGCTTGCTCTAATCTTTCTGGTTAGAGTTAACAGTCTTCTGAAGAATTACATTGATTTCTCTATTTGAGACTTCAGCTTGGCCATTGGTCTGTGGGTGGTATACTGTGGCTACCTTATGAATCACTTCGTATTTTCATAGCAAGGCAGCCATGCTTTGGTTGCAAAAATAAGAACCTTGGTCAGTGATAATGGCTCTAGGAATGTCAAACCTGCAGAAAATGTTAAACCTGACAAAATCTACAACCACAGCAGAATCATCAGTCCCGGTGGCTTTTGCCTCACCCTACTTGGACACATAGTCAACAGCTAGCAAGAAGTAAGTAAAACCATAAGAAACAGGAAATGGACCCATAAAGTCAATACCCCATTTCATTTTATTACTTAGCAAAATGGTGTATGCAAGCTGAGGCACATAATGACCAGCATAGCACTCTCTGATTATGTACAAATCCCTGCTTTTGTATTCTGGAAACCTATCTAACTAGTTGATGAGGAAGACATAGGCATCCTTGGCAGTAGACTTATCTCTTGTATGGTCATAGTCAGAAGTAGTGTTTGAGTAGGAAAAGCCAACTCCAACAGGGGATTCCAAGAAGAGCACATTTGCAACTGCAAAATATAACGATGTGGTAATCAAGTCTAAGCTGAGCATCATCAAGGTTGAAATTTTAAAAGACAATAAGTTGATGACTATATTCTCACCTTCATTCCAAGCATATTTGTTATTAAATAGGGTTTTGCCTTCAGAATTGACTCTGAAGGGTCCCAGCTCCTCGAAGGTCCCATACCCCATTGAGGAACAACCAGGTCCTGTGAATTTCAAACATCATGGTATCAAATCATTGAATCAAGCGATAATCCGGTATGCTCTGCACCTTAACATGCTATATTTTTCATTCAGATGTGAATTTGTGAAGTTCAAATGATGATGATGATGAAATCATCTATTCAGGTTTCCCCGTGTTCTTTTATATTCAAAGGGTAAATCATAACAACTTTTTTATTCAAAGGGAAAACCATAGCAACTATAAAGTGATATTTTTTTCTTTGGTAAGCTAGACTTTCATGTTTCATCACTGTGAAAAGTGAAGAAAAGCCATCAATTAAAAAATAATAAATAATCAATCAATTGATATTATCTTACGTTTATTACTGTAAAAAATGACAAGATATGCATAAAGCATAAAAAAAAGCACACAAAAGAACATAAGTTATGAGCATAAAGAAGTTTGACTTATTTTAACCTCCATTGAGCCACAATACTAAAGGTTTAGTTGAAGAGTTATATGGAGACTCCACAAAATAATAGAGAAGTGCTCTTCCAGCCACTGGATCAACTATGACATATCGTTCAACTTTCTAGTAAACAATTGATGACCTTTTAATTTATTTCCCGTATAAGGAATGAATGATTGAATTAAAATCATAATTTCAAAAAAAAATGGAGACACTAATGCATAAAACTAGTATCAGATTTTCAATGTAGAAAATAAAGTAGGAAGCAAGCTATGTTTGTGGGGTATTACTCACAGATTCTTGGATGAACACCGAAGAGGCACAACCCTTCCACTTAGGATCTGAATCTGATTGAACACCTAAATCTCCCAAAATTGCATCGACCACGCCGGGAAGCATAACATCCTTGTTCCCAACAATCAACATAGCTCATCATCATACTCTTGAAAAATTAAAATTAATTAAAAAAATAAATAAATGGAATTTTAAAGTTAATAGAATAAAAATCATAATTGGGGAGTATGAAAACGTGTAATATAACTCTAGAAGATAGCAGAACAAGATTTATATAGGTTTAAAAAATTAAAATTGTGTGAATCTTACCTTAGAAAATTGCTACAAAAACCCAAAGAAGAACATAGAGAGAAAAAAAAATCATAGGCATAAGAAGAAGGATGAATGAGTCGATGACCCAACAACATTTGTTTCAAAAAGATTGAAGCCATCACAGGTTGCGACAAAGATAAAGAAAAACAAACATGAAGCTTTCGAGGAGAAGAAAACATACCTCTGCGAAGAAGAAGAACCAGGAGAAGTAGAAGAAATGGGAACAAATATGAAGTGCGTGAAGGAGAAGAGCCACGACAACAAACAGAAATTAGGGATTTAGGATTTTGCTAAAAAAAAATGGGCTGGCCCGCAGCTAACCCTATGTTAGCCCAAAAGAAATGAGAATTATTGGGGCTAGGGTTAAAAATAACCCTACATATTAGGGCCAAAAAAATAGAGGGGGGCTAATAATAGGGGTTGAAAGGCTGGCCCGCGGGCTCTGGTACGTATTGACAGCTTTACTCACCACACTTGGTGAGACAAATAATTGTAAGTGAAAAATTACTTTCAAAAATGACTTTTCTAAAGCCTGCGTTCCACGCTACCTCCAAACCATATAGTATGCCCCATAACTCTGTTCTAAAAGCTGGACAGCACCCCGACAAAACCTTTTAACCAATTGCCCATTGAATTTCTGATCATCCCCTCCACAAGCAGCCATGCCAATATTGACACCAGCTGCTCCATATGTGTTTATCTTCACCTAGACTTCCTCTGGGAACTGCCATGCTATATTTAAATAGCTATAATTGATTCTTGTACGCGAATTACTGACACGGGCTGTCGAACTCGCACAAATTAATAAAATTAGGTTTCTGAAAATTTGTAGTAGAACGTCAACCTGAGTTTTCTCTCAAGGAAATCGCAAAGATTAAAATTGCAGATTAAAACAGAAAATAATCCGGGAGGGGGGGGGGGTTGTTCGCTTTGAATAAGAATTAAAGTACAACGTAAAAATTGAAATTGAAATTCGTACAAAAAAAAAAACCAACCTAAGGTCAGGATTCCTAGGACGTCTTTTCTCGGATAACAAGATACCAGAATCGTGATTGATCTCAATTGAATCAGAATCCTGGTTTTCAATTGAGAATCCTCTCTAAGCGATCGCTTAATGTTTGATCAAATATGGTGCTTCTACTCATACAATCGCAGAGTATTAGCCCGTTTGACTTAAGGTCATAGGGATAATCAATCTAATCATCAAATTTAATGACTAATCTCTTTCCATAATCGCAATCGCGAATCTCAGATTGAATATCCACAATCGCACGATATCAATATGAGTTTGGAAGAGAAACAAATCTGATTTAAAGGAAAGGTTCAGATCCTCTAGACTCTTCCATGGAATTCATTACCCTTAGGTTGATTAAAGGTTCTTAACCTCGCATGTCTAAGGTAAACACAATTAAAAATTAAAAAGAAGAAGAAGAAGAGATGAAGAATAGAAAAATGTAGATTGATCCTTTAGAGAAAAGTCGTCAAACGTACAAACTCCAAAACGAAGAACACCGACATGTTTCCTAAACGAACCCTTTTAACCCACCAACCGGGTTAGGGTTCAACTAATTTCGGCCCATAATAATAAAATAAACAAAATCAGGACTAAAACAATGGCTTTGGGCCTTAAACATATTGAGTTCTAATTTATTTTATAAGTCCAAACGTCAAAATAAATTTTCAGCAAAACACTTCCATCTTGAGCACAGGTTTGGACCATCTTTCCGTCCGAATTGGGCTTCAGTAGCTGAAATAGTGATTATAACCCTTTCTGTTAGCTGCAAAACGCAACAAGAAAATCGGACATATGTAGAGTGAGATATGGTCAAAATACGAAAGTAGTGTAAATTTAGAAAATTCTGACGAAAATCAATTAAACTCAATTAAAATCTAGAATTCTAATTTCACCCAAAAGAACTTTATTCAACTCAAATAAATTCTAAAAATACTGATCAAGAGTAATAAATAAGTATAACAAAATATGCATTATTAAGTACTTAAGCCATATGTAGCATCCTCAACGTCCCGCACCAGCTTCCTAATTAACTCAAGTTTGGTTCCAAGAGGGGAGCCTCTTCTCCTTGATTAACCATATTTCTAGGTGCCATATTTTCCAACAAGTTGCAAGAAATATGGTTAACCAAATCGCATGGCTCTCACCAACTGATGTGTCACCAATATTTGTTGTGATCCAATTAGCAAAGTCTTGGTTATAAAAACCTGCACTGATACGGGAGAGGACGATATTATCCCATACCAATTTTGCAGTGCTGCAGTCCCTCAATGGATGGGCTATTGTTATAGGCTCTCCCCTACAACAAGGACATGTGTTCTCACCATTATTCCATGTAGCAATCAAGCTCTTCGTCAGTAAACACTGGTGAATCACTTTCCAACCAAAAATTTTCACCTTTTGGGGCCATGAGTTCAACGTTTCAAAATCCCAAGCACCAGAAGGTGTTACCACAGCTGCAACCTTAAGATTCTCAATAGCTTCAGGATCCACTCCATTAGCTAAATCCTCCAATGTGTTCGATACTGGAAGGCACCTGTCCTTCAAGAAACAAACATCCTTGCCATTGCCCAACTCCCACACCAAATTTGCTTCTATAGCATGCCACATCAATATTTATCCTTCGAAGGAGATCTTAAAATTAGTATTTTTATTAAAAATTTAAATTAAAAAAAATCACCTATATTTTTCCTTGTAATTTTGATTGTTTATTTTTTTTTCATTTGAAAGTATATAATTTTATATTATTTAAAATTGCAAACACCGTCAAATAATGGTAGCAGAGTTGTATCAAGGACTGAACACGTGGGTGAGAGCATGTAATATCATTTTTAAGAAAAATTTAGATTCTTAATTCTAAATTCATCCTGAATAAACTAACGGTGAAACTCTCAAGTGGAATATATAAAAAAAATTTATAAACACCAAAAAATATATATAGCGTGAAATACTTTATTTTCCCAGTGATTGAAACTCAAAAATAACATTCGAGCAAGAAACTCGGGTACTCAACTTCGTCGCTGCCACACTGGGTGCTTGGATTTGAGAATCAACTGATTCCCCAAGCCGCAAGGTATTTGTACCATAATCTCCCTTTCTCTTTTACCGAACTTCATCAATGATTTTCAAGTTTAAAACTTACCAATTTGACCACAAATTCAAACCCCACATTGTAATATTTTGCGTTGGAAATGGGATATGGAGGGTTTTTTATTTTTTATTTTTTATTTTTTGGATTATCACTTCGAAAAGGGTTTTCCGTTAGATGCTAAGAGTACAACCAATAAAATTTGTGGTTGTAACAATCGTGAAGTGTTAAGGAGCTTGTCTCTTAACCAGATCTCTCCGGTTCAAGCATGTGAATGGAGAAAATGGTCTTTGAGAGCCCGTGTTCTATAATAAGTACGACAATGCTCGAATTGAATTAGTTAGTGGCCCTCTATGATGGGTATAGCGTGTGCTCGAATCGGATTAGTTGAATAATTGTTAGTAATAGATAAACCAATGGATATAAAAGTATTTACGAAGTATTTGCGTAACTTTTTCCAGGTCAGGTATGGAAACCGAGGGGAATTCGATGAAGAGACAAAGGGCAAGTGAAAGAGATAGAGAAGAGGAGAGGGACAGGCTCAGTGACTTGCCTGACTGTGTTCTGCTCCATATATTGAATTTCATTAACTCAAAACAAGCTGTTCAAACTTGTGTCTTGTCTAAACGGTGGAAGCACCTTTGGAAGCGTCTCACTAATCTTAAAATCCATTCCTCGGACTTTAGGACACTTGACATTTTTAGAAAATTTGTGTCTCTGGTTCTGTCTAGTCGAGATGGCTCCATTTCCCTACATAGTCTTGATTTCATGCGTCATGGTTACTCTTTTCCTACAATCTTGAATAAGGTCATTACATATGCTGTGTTGAACAATGTCCAGCAGTTGACACTTGATGTATGGGACAAAGTTGATGTAAGTGACATTTTAGTGCCTATCATTGTTTCTTGTCCGTCTTTGACATTTCTGAAGATTGCCTTGAGGTGTGACCTTTACACACATAGGCTTCCAAATTCTCTGCCGTTTCCTTCATTAAAAAGCTTGTATCTTGAGAATGTTGGTTTTACTGCAAGCGACAATAACTGTGCTGATCCTTTTTCAACCTGTCTGATGCTGAATACTTTGGTAATTAAAGATTGTACTTTGCATCGTGATATAAAAGTCTTCTCCATATCTAATTCTAAGCTTTCGAGTTTGACCATATGCAATGAGCTTAGTGGACCAGCTCATAAATTGGTGCTTTCTGTTCCAAATCTCAGTTCTCTTGCTATCCTGCATGCTCCTATTCACCAAATATTCTACGCATGCAATCTTTCTTTAATCAAAGAAATAAATATCGATGCCGTTTTTCCTCGGAAGAAAGATTCAGTCATAATAAGCTGGCTACAAGTGCTCGCAAATGTAAAAATAATGACACTCTCTTCAAGTATCCTTTATATAATACAAATTGTAAGTTACTTTAGTAAAAAATTTCCTTTCCTTTCCTTTCTGTATGGCTTATAAGATGTATGCAGTCTTATGTCGCAATTTGTGCTATTATTCAATCTCACATTTCTAACTATGTAGGTTCTCTCAAATCCTGTTTCAATGAGAACTCAACCCCCTTGCTTTGTTAGATTGGAGTCATTGAAAGTGAAAATGTATTCATCTGCATGTCTATGTTATCAGCAAGTCAGCAGGGCAGTGACGTACTTACTTCAGAACTCTCCACTGGCCAGAGTTGATATTATAAATTGCTGAGAGTGATATCCATTCTTAACTCTTTAAGGTAGAGATTTTTACAAATTATTCAGATTTTGCTCCCTCTCTACCTATATCGTGAGTACCTTGTTTATACTACTTGTTACATTTTTTTTGTTTGGTATTTTACAGAAGAAAAATTTTAAAAGCAAGAAACTATTAACTGTCGAGAAAAATGTTTTAAAAACATACAAATTTTTTACTCTTTTGGTGATGTAGAATGATGGTGACTAAAATCTTGCTGACGACTGAATTGATGCTGCATCAGTAAACCAATTTTCATTTTGTGTGCTTTTTTAGTTTACAACTAAATGACAAATGTTTTTAAGTTGTATTCAGTTTGAATTGTCTTTGAAAACTTTATATAATTTTTACTATAATCTATATTTTTTAAACGCATTTTCAGTAATTTCAAAATTGAAAAGATCTTAAGGAAATTGTTGGAATATTAGAGTGTGCTAGTGTTATATATTTTATCATCATTGTTAAATTTTAATTCATGAAAGTCAACAAATCCTTATAGAATGATATTTAGCCATTATTATGTTTGATTTCACATCTAAAATATCCTTTCTTTAGTTTCATGTCAGATCTTTATATTTTGAAAAGCATTTTTTATAATTTCAAAATTGAAAAGAACTTAAGGAAATTGTTGGGGTATTAGAGTTGTGATGGATATTAAAATTCTTATACTTTCATGAAATGTTCATTTTGATTTATTAAGAATCTGGTAGTAAAGTTGAAGCACATCTAGTGGGGTAGGCTTGGTTGTTGTTTGCTGTTATTGGTAATACAATAGATTGAATTAGGCCCTGACCAGTGGCAAGTGGGTGAGTTTTATATTAAATTTGTAGGGTCATTGAAGAAATTTGTAGCCTTTATTTTTAAGTTGATTTTAACTGAAGTTTTAATTTGTTCTTTTAAAACCCCTTTATGGTATTGGAAAGGTTTACATTGTATTATTTGTTTACTTTAACAAACCATCAAATTTCAAATGTGTAACAGAAAACAATCTTACAATCTTGGCTATGCTTTCTGCTTCTTGGTTGTATGAGTATTCCTGCTCTCTTTTGGGCCTTGTTGGATAGGAATATCTCATTATTTTGTCTAAAAGAATCAAGTTATGAACTCTATTTTTGTCTTATCATTACTCTTTTAGCTTTTTGTTTTAATCAATATGTTTGTCAGTAGTAGCTTCTCTTCGTAAATGTCTTGTCATGTTGTTTGTGACAGAGGCTGTATATATTATCGTATTGCTTATGCAATGTAGTGTAGATATCTATTATCAGGGTTACATACTCTGCTTGCATACTTCAGCAGGGAATTTGTAAAGAATTTTAAAAGTGGATGCTACGCCGTGTTTTTCTTTTTCCTTTTCCAAGGTTAGAAATTCGACTCCTCCAAACAGTTAATTGTTTGTTTGGGTGCGGCTTAATTCATAGAAAAGGTTAACTGAATCTCATTTTGTAAGTTTTATCTTCCTCCTTGATTGCATTTCGTTGCTGATTGCAATATATTTGACATATTTGGAATAACTATAATATGCGAAATGTATGTGTTTATTTTGAATGTTTTGAGTTTGTAAATTCTTTGTATTAACTCCTTAATTTTTCAATTGCTTGATCTTTAGTTGTTGCAGTTCATGTTACTTTGAGCTAGTGAAGGTTATTGCTCATCTTTCATGTGGATTTAACGAACAACGCAGTTGCCTTGCACGTAACGCTAGTGTGCTTAGCTTATTGAAAAGTAAATGAATCAAGACATGGGTAGCTTGTATGTAGAGCTGTCAAAATGGGCTAGCCCGGCCTATTTAGCTCTAGTCCGCTTGAGTTAGGGCTAAAAAATCTGCAGGGCCATAAAAGCCCACAATGATATAGGCCCACGTGGACCAAAAGCCCTAAGGGTTAGGGCTAGCCTATGGGCCTTCCAAAAATTTAATATATATTTTTTTGTTTAAAAAAAAATTCATATTTGATATAGCAATGTATCTCAAAAGTCCTTACCTGCATTAAAAATAGATTAAGGAGCAACATTTTCTCATAAAAAAAAAAGTGACAGCATATTCTCATAGATTATTAGAACACTAATGAAAACAGATTTTATAGTAATGCAGAAGAAACTAATCTTAAATGATATGTTGATGAGGAAAAATAATAAATGATATCTAACAGGTCAGAACAACAAGCCATCAAATTATACACAGTTACACACATTATGGGTAGCATATAAATATAATATTACCTCGTTCCCTGAGTTTCAATGCTTTCCAAACCACGTTTAATCTACATGTTATCCAAATTTGTACTTTAAAATCTCTCTCTCAAATAGCAACTCCAATGCAAGAGGATATTTTGCTTACATTGAACAAAAATACAGCAGTTTATTTTGTTTTTACTATTGTTAAATAAATATAAAAATTATTAATATAATTTTACCCAATAGTTTCTCAAATGAAATTCAGAGTTTCACTCAATTTTCAGATACCAAGATAGTAAAAATTAAAAAAAAGTAAATACCCTTTTTAGTCCCTAACAAAAAACACAGTCTCCACTTTAGTCTCTTACAAAAATAAATTAGTCAGTTAGTCCCTAACAAATTCAAAGTGGAACCATTTAATTGAAATCGTGGTCCCTCACAAATTCAAAAAAGACCCATATTAGTCCCTCAAAAGAACTAAAATGGGTCCACCTTGAATTTGTTAGGGGACTAACTGACTAATTTATTTTTGTAAAGGACTAAAGTGGGGATTGTGTTTTTTGTTAGGGATCAAAAATAGTCTTTACTTTAAAAAAAACAACAACAATAACTTGATAATCCACAAGAATAATAAAAGGGCATGGACATAACCTCTACATTTAAAACTTAAAACTTTCCAATCAATTGCATTATGTCCTTTTGTTAATCTACAATTAATCACATGACAGGATTTTTATTATTCTATAAAGTTCGAAATTTTAAGTCGATATTTTTCCATTTTTTTTCAAAAAAAAAAAGAAAAAGGAAAATTGTTAACCTGAGTATCGATGGCGACTAGGGTGTACTGAGGAACATCGAGGAAGAGAAGAATGACACCGTGCTTGACAAGCTCTAACGCTGTTTGAGGATCCATATATTAAAAAAGAAAACAGATACAGTTAAAATAGCCATGCTTGAGTGGCGTGAGAAGTGAACAATAATTGTTAAAGGCACCAAAAGACTTAATCGAAAATCAAAATCCAAAAGGCAGAAGGAGAGTAGCAATACCTAATTACAGAGTTCGAATTCTGAAAGGATTTTTCTGCGTTTTCACAACTTAGGTTTGCTTCTTCTTTGCACCCCAAAATCTTAGAATACCCATTTTAGGATTCCCCCTCTTCTATGATGGATTATCTACGAGAGTCTATGTTTTGTGTGATTATATCGATCTTGATGAAGATTCATGCAATTCCCTACTGTGAATTAGTGGTTTTGATTTTAGGGTTCCTTTCAATTTATTTATTAGGGTTTTTTGAAGGATTCGGGTATTAGAGATTTAGGGTTCCTTTCCAAATCCAAAAGGCAGAAAGAATTTGTGACTCTGCGTGAGAACGAATAATGAAGATTGTTTCTTTTCTTTTTTTTCTCAAAGTGAAAAAAATGAAATGCATGTGGCCCTTGGGCCAGCCCCAACGTAGCCCTCAAAATGAGAGGGCTTTAATGGATTAGGACAAAAATGGCCCTTTAGCAAAGAGGGTTAAATTTAACAGGGCTATTTGTGGGGACAAGTATAAACCCGAACGAGGACCGAAACCATACCTCCGTGAAGAAGCAGAAGAACAACTAGAAGAAAGAAGAAATCGGAAGAGCTATCGAACGAAGAGAAGAAAGAGAAATTAGGGATTATATTAAAAAAAATTAGAGTTGAACTGCGGTTAACCCAATCTTAACCCGATAGAAAGGAGAGGGTTATGGGGGCTAGGGTGAAAAATAACCCAACCAAAAACAGGGCTGAAGATGGGGCTTGAAAGGCCTGCGGATTTTGACCGCTCTAATCAAAAGGATGGAAGAAAGAATCAATCGCGTTGTTGAGAAGAAAAAACTCCCAGGTTTTCTGGCTTCAATTGGAACCAAAAAAATAAAAAAAAGGATGGAAATTTAACGAGGGGAGCGCTTTATTTTGGTACGGTGTCGTAAGTCGTAAATAGTTAGCACATTTAGGCTTCTTTTTCTTCTATGGTGCTTAGCATATTTATAACACGTTTCGATTTATTTATTTTTCTTAGAGTTTTTTTTTTAAGAAAAAAAAAAGTAATTCTCAAAAAAAAAAATTTGTTTGGATGTCTTTTTAAAAAAAATATAAGTCATAAAAAAAAGTCAATTTTTTTTTTTTTTTGGAAGCTAAAAATTTTAACTTTTAAAAAAAACAGTAGTTACAAGTCAAATATTTTTTTAAAATCTAAATAACTATAATTTTTATGTAAAATACTTTTAAAGTAAACAAGACATGAATTTTTTGTTTGAAAAGTTAATAAAAACGGGCTCTAAAATTTTTTATTTTTTAATTTTGCTTCGCTAATAAATCATGGCTATCTTTTATATATATATATATATATATATATATATATATATATATATATTTTGTCGAAGTTCCTTCCTAGTCTCTCCATATATTTACACGAGGAACTTTTTTTCCGGTGTGATAGTGGTTTCAATTTTTATCGTAGCCCTTCGAAAAAAAAGTGGAAAATTAAGAACACTATTATTAAAATCTCTAAAATGGTGTTCAAAGTATACATGTTACTTGGCAGGAGTTGAGATGTCACCTTGAAGAAACATTTTTACTACTCCCTATAAGTTTTCACTCTTTTGTTTTATTTGCACGATGATAAATGAAAAACACTCGTACCAACAAAAAAAAAAATCAAAAATACTATTTTTAGGAAGGAAAACGTGTTTATTCTCTTAAATGACACACCTTATATCATTTCACCCTCACAAAGAGGTGGGATCCACACCTTTAATTGTTTTGTCAACTCTCTCTCTCCTTCTTCATCTATCTCTTTCTCTCTGCTAAAATGACACAACTTTACATCCTTTAAAATGACACACACTTTTTTCTTTTAGAAAAAAATGTGTCTTTTTTTAAAGACACAAACTTGAATCCTTTTAAGAGAGAGATACAAAGAGATATAGGATCACTAAAAAAAAATAAAGAAAAAAATGTAAATTTCACTTTTTTGTATCTATTTCTTTCTTAATAGAATCCAAATTTGTACCTTTTAAAAATGGGTTTTATTAATCTCATGTTAAAGTAAATAAGTTATTTCATGTCATAGAGATAAAATTATGGGTTTCACCACCTGAAAAATAAAAAGAAAAGAAAAGAAAAGAAAAAGATGACACAATTATCGAAAGGTGTGTAGGAGGGAGACTTATCTCATGTAGCATGAGAATAATTTTTCCCTTTAAAAATTCACACATTTCCCCCTATTTTTAACACTTGCTTCAGTTACTTGTAAAAGATCTTTTATCGAAGACCAAAAAAACATTTTAGGTTCAGCAAGCCTGCAACCAGAGGTTGAATTAGCAAACTCACTAACTTAAAGTGAACTGCAGTGTCAAAAGCACAGATGAACGGACGGCGAGAGCTCGAAAGAGAAATGGAAGACCAGATTCAGCGTAGTGTGAAGAAACCAAAAGAAAATGGGATTGAGGATTCCAGTATGGATGACGAAATGAAGGAGAGTGGCCCGACAGGAGATGGGTATGGAAGGCAAAAAGGGAGTCCTTCTGGAGCAAAGGAGAAAGAAAACCCAGCCAGGGGTAACAGCAAGCTAGTCTCCTATAAAGATATGGTACTCCAGCTGAATTGGGAGAGGGACGATGGAGATAATTATGAAGAGGACTGGATGTCCATCCAAAGGTGAGAGGAGGAAGCGGAGGGCAGCAAGGAAGATGGGGAAGCAGACGTCCAAGAGGACCCTTTATGTCCGGTCTACCATTTTTGCCCCCAACAACTCAAGGAGGACTGCAAGAAATGGAGGAGTGCACTCATAGTCAAACTCTTGGGGAAAAGGTTAACAATCGCTTCCTGGTAACAAGATTGCTGAATCTCTGGAAGTTAGAGGGTAAGTTCGAAGTTATAGATATGGATAACGCGCACATTCTGTTTAATTTACATAACGAAAGGGACTATCACCATGTTCTTCATGAAGGACCTTGGATTGTGGTTGAACACTACGTGATAGTTCAGAGATGGAGACCAATGTTTGACCCGTTTGATGAACAGATTAAAAGGTCAGCTGTTTGGATTAGAATCCCACGCCTGCCGATGGAGTTCTACACCACACAACATTTGTGGAGGATTGGTAATTTATTTGGGAAGACAATGAAGATAGATAGGAATTCATTGAGAAAATCTGATGGTGGTGTAGGAGAATACACGGAGAAGGCGAAATACGCTCGCATATGTGTGGAAGTTGATCTGAGGAAGAGTTTTATACCGAAATTTCATGTTTGTGGGAAAACACTCCCGGTGGCCTATGAAGGCTTGCACTTGATTTGTTTTGGATGTGGGAAGATG